AGTAGGTTTGACAAACACGTTGCCAGATTTAGCCATTTTCAAACAGTTTCCCAGTTTTGGCATAGCCTTTTGGTCAGGTTCAAAAATGGTATTCTGGACTTTCTATTAAGCTCCCAAGTACTTTAATGTGTAGAGGGACACTTCAGCTTTAAAACAAGCCTTTAATCTCCAATTTCCATCTAGCCAATTGTAAGATATGAATCTCCAAAGTAGACACCATGAAACTGTTTTTACACTGAAACAACAGATTAGGTCGACCGAAAAGTGCATGTCACCGTGACATGCATGTCACCGTAGCAAAGTCCTAACTTATTATTATTATGATTCCTATTATTAAAAAAAATAGAATAATGGGACGAGGGCCTAGTGGCCCTCCCCAAACCCTTTCCCCGCGCAAACCACCTCCCCCCAATTAATAATTTCACAAGTCCCCTCCCATTATCGGCCCCAGCAACCAGTCGCCATCCCTTCTCCTTGTTGTTCCAGCGCAGCAGAAGCGAAGGGAGAGCAGCAGCCACCCAACAATAATCCCTCCCCCAGCCCTTTAAAATTCCACCATACCACCGCCCCTATTCCTGACTCCGATCCCATCCCTTTCGTGTTCTAGGTAAGGATCACGAACCCCTTCACGATTTTTAAACTCGACTCATCGATAGACTAATCCGAAGCTCGTATTTTATTCTCGGTGACGGTTGAGGGTTCGATCAACGAGGAGATCAACGTCCCGGTGCATGCAACCTACGCCTAGGCACGTTCTACAGGTAAGGGAACTCGATCCCTTTGAGTTAGGTCGATTAATTTGGGGATTTTTCCTGAGGGTGCGATTCTGAGTTTTTAGCAACAGACGTTACAGGCTTTTAGTGACAGATTTTGGGTGGTCACTAAAGCTGCTGGGAATTTGCATAAACTTATTTTAGATGTTTTAAATTGTTTCAAGTCTCTGTGGGTGTTTGTTCCTGGGTTTAATAATTTTATAAATTGAGGGGGGGTCTAGGAGATGGCTGTAATTTAATTTGGGGGTTTTGAAGATGTATTTCTATTTTTAGAAATTGTTCGAATATTCATTTTAATTAAATAAAAATATTTTTGAGGGGTTTGTAAGGGTCTGATAATTTTCCAAGGTACCTATGTCAAAATTGAAACCAATTAGTAACCAATGATATACAATGTTATACCTTTGATAAAAATATAAATCATATACCTTTGACCTCATTTAGTATCCAATTTTGAGAGCACATCAACGCCTCGATAGCATTAGCGTCAAGTCGACTACGATGCGGACTCAACAATCTCCCACATGTGCTAAAAGCAGATTCCGAAACAACTATTGTCACGGGGATGGCTAGAATATCTCTTTCTATCAACCTCAAAGTTGGATACTTGAGCCCTTGATTCTTCCACCAAGCTAATATATCAAACTCGTCACTTCTTGTTATCACCCCAACCCTCAAATAACTGTCAAATTCTACTTTCACATTTGAAACTTTATGATCACCGCTTACAAACATATCAAATCCAGCAAGAAAATCATCATCCACTTGCTGACTCAACACAGAAAACATAGTTGTACCACTTGCAAACTCCTCATTAGGTTCTGAACTCTTGTACTGATTAAGCAAATCATAAGCAATTCCTTTAATCCTCTTAAGATGGTGTTCAGCCAAAACACCATAAATTTGTTCAAACACCCATACCGAAAATTTCATCTTGTATCTAGGATCTAGAATTGCAGCAACTGCCATCATTCCATGAATGATATCCCAATAATCATCAAACTTCTCCAACATTGGTGTTGCCATATTTGTAATATATGTATCAGGTGATAACACCCATTGATTCAAAGAAACCTTTATCTCACAAACCTTGGGGGGGGAAATATTGGCAGTTGGATAGGTAGAACCTGAAAACACTTCTGTGATGTTGTAAAAAAACTTTAACTTCTCACAAATCTTTTCTACCATAATCCACTCATCTTCACTTGGCACGGTAGTATAACCTGAATCTCGTAGTCTCAACCGAGGAGAAACCTCTTTGTAAACCAAGGCAATAGAAAGCATCACATAAGTAGAATTCCAACGAGTCCTACAATCAAAAGCTAATTATTTTGATTCAATGTGTCTTTGACTCGCCAAAAGAGTGAAATTTTGTCGTCTTTTTGGCGAAGCAGTCCAATAGACAACACTATCACGCACTTTCTCAATACAAGTCTCGATCATTGATAATCCCTCATGAACTATTAAGTTTATTATATGTGATGCACATCTCATATGAAAAAGATAACCACCCAAAAGAAGTGAACTCGCTTGTAGCTTCTCTCCTAGAAGAGATCTAACCATTGCATCATTAGTACTACAGTTATCTAGAGTGATGGCCGATAGCTTGCTATCGATGTTCCATGCAGTCATACACTCAAAAATTACTTTACAGAGCGCATCTTTTGTCTGAGGAGAGGGAACATAGCAAAATCTCAAAATTCGGTTCTGAAGTCTCCATGAATCATCAATGTAGTGTGCAGTAACAACCATAAACCCATGTTTATTGTTGTTTGAGGTCCACATGTCTGTTGTAATGGCTACTCTACTACTGTTTCTCTCCAATTCCATCATAAGATGAGTCCTCCCTTCCTTATAGATCTTCAAGATGTCACTTCTAACTGTGTTTCTTGAAATCATTTTGAATGCAAGTTGAAGAGAGCTTAAAAACTTTCTTACACCAACATAATTAACCACAACAAGTGGAAACCCATGCAAGATAATCATGTTAGCAAGATCCCTTCTACTATTCTCTTGGTCAAAGATATATGGACTTGAACTTCTACTAGCACCTAACTTCTTTCTCAACAAGTTATACAAGTGCTTAATCTTAGGGCATCTTCGCAAGTGCTTGTCTAAATGAGTAGTTCCATGCACAGCTGAAAGCATTTTCTTGCAATGTTGACATTGAGCCTTTAACTCTTCCCTAAATAATAATTTCTTAAAGTATTTCCATACATGAGACCTCAATTGTTTACTGCCATTAGAAACTATTGTAGGAGCTTCACTATTGATTTCACCAGAATCTGAATGAGACTTTTCAAGAACCTCAGATAATTCAATGGTTTCATCTATTTCTGAAGCCATTTTCACTTAACCTGAACAACATAACATACCAATATTACCACTAGTTTATAGACATATGAATAAAGGGTGCATTTCCAATCCAATAAGCAATTTTCAGTTTCATAAGACACATCAAAGATAGCCAGAGAAACAATTACAAACTCAAACTGAAAAAAGAGAACCCACATCATGAATTAAACAACAGAACATATATACCATAGCGGCATAGCCCATAGGCTTTCATTGCTAAAATGCAAATTCTCTCTTATGCGAATAGAAATGCCTGTAAGAGATTAGCAATAGTCTCAACAGTGGTTGTCTTGTCAATCCTAGCGACCCAGCCTCAGCGCATCCGTGAAGCTTCCTCTTGATGTTGCCAACCCATATTCAATTCCTGACACAACCCCGCCGTCAACTGACTAAACTTACGCAAACGAAGAACCAAAGGTGAGACAAGTAAACCAAACCCAGATGAACGAAATCTTAGAGAGTGAGATACAGGGGAAAAGAAGAACCGAGCAAATAGATAGGGGGCAAGATCTAGAAGAGAAGAAGATGGGGGAAACCTGGAGACCGAGACCAGCACGAGAAGAGAGAGGTGGGTTTCTTCTTCTTTCTATCCTTGTCCTTTTTTCTATTTCTGAATGTGGGTTTAGCGTTGCCAGATAATCCACTGCCCCAGGATCCGTTGGTGGGGAAAAGGAGAAGTTGGCGGTGTTGGGGCCGATGGTCGTTGATCGATAATCGAGATTGCAGGCTGGCGGCATCTTCGGGGCCGATGTCGCTGATCAAGAACCGAGATGCAGGCGTGCGGCGGCGTCTGGATACGATGGTTTAGGTTATTAGGTCGAACTGACCATGGATGAAGAGACCCGTTTGGGTCCTGTTTGAGATTTTTATTTTTTATTTATTAATTTTCTGGGCTTTTCTTGGACCCAATTTAATTGGATGGGTATGGGTCTGCTCCATAACAAAACTCAGACCCTAAGACCCATTTGACATGCCTAGTTAGGTATTACTCTAGTTTGTTCAAGTTGTTTAGTTTGCTAGAGTGTGAGACCGTGGATAGAAGTACTTGTTGTAGTATTGATATTTTGTATCTAAAGTTTTTCGAGGAACTTGTTCATAATTGTGATCAGGTTGGAGGTTAATAGAAAGCTACAACAATTAAGGGAAACAAAAATTAATTTAACACCAAAGTAAAGTTCCGCTACAATTGTGTAAACAATATGGCTAGGCAAAACGTATAGGGTAGGGTGTTACACAAAAACTCTTGTGGAACAACATAAAGCTGAAACATAGGCAAGATTGGCAGTAGGAACTAATTAAAGTATATGGCACAATCTGCCTAGCAACTTACTTCCAGATCAAGTGGTGGGATTTGATTTGAGGCAGAAGATTGAGTCACAACTATGTTGACTTGTGAGATTCTTTGGTTAAGATATGTACTTACTAATTTAGGGATTAATCTCTCTTCTGCTACTACTATATTCTCAATAGTATGTATACCATTTAGCTAGCCGATAATCCTATGAATCACGAATGAACTAAGTATATAGAAATTGATTGCCATGTTATACATGATCCGATCCTAGCAATTACAGTAAAGGTATTACATGTTTCTTCCTCTAACCAGTTAGCTTATATTTTCACGAAGTCTTTGTCAGTTGCAGTCTTTCAGGATATCATCAACAAGCTGGGCAAATTAGACATCTTTGCGCCAGCTTGAGGGGGGTGTTGAATGAAGACTTGTTGATTTAGGACTTAGATTGTTGTTTTGTATAGTTTAGGGACTGCCAAAGTAGTCAAAATCCCGATTTAAATCCTAAAATCTTACGATTTTACTTACCTATGATTCTGATTTCACTATAAAATCTATGGACCTTAAAATCATACACTATTCACGATTTAAATCCTTAAAATCTTACGATTTTACGATTCAAATCTTTGGGTCAATTTTACTTCCCCCCCCCCCCCCCAAATTTGGAAAATTACGCATCTTTTCCTCCTCCTCCACCAACATCCTCTAGTTCTTGCACACTAACCACAATCGACCATCATTAACTCTAGCTGGACCAACACAATGGAAGAAAAAAAAGAATCAAGATGGTTCTTCAAAAGAACCAGAAGCTCAACATCAAACATAAGCACCAACAATAGAGAATCCTGCTGAAAATGCTGAGAAGAACCAAGGAAAGTCAGTTCCAGAGCAGGTACACCAGGAGGGAAACAAAAAAGGAGATGAAGGAAAGGGAAATGAAATGCATCAAGATCATGAACAGTGAAAAGACACAGTCAGATGTGCTTGTTTCTAATAAGGGAGAACATGTGAAGAACAATAAAGAAGAAGCTAAACAACCACCACCAAAGACTGCAGGAAACCCCAAAGACAGTGACATATCATCTTTTGACATCAGCCCACTCAATCACCCATCACCACCACCAAATATCAACATTACTACAGCAACAACATCACAACAACCAGAAGAACCGCGCAAAAGAAGGATAGTGATGAAGAATGTGTATGGACCATATAAGAAAGCAAAAATATCAACCCCACCAGAAGACACAACAAGCCCACAGTTGAAGAATCAACCATTCATTGAATGGTCAAACTTGTACTCGAACAGCCAAGAGAGGCTACTAGAGATAAATGCCTACTTGACTGCTTACATTGATGACCTGAATACACCAGTCTCGCAACCAATACCAGGAATGAGCTCATCAGCAGCAAATGCACCAGTTGAAATAAAATATGGTGCCATAGATGCAATCCCAATTGCAATAATGGTTACACCAATACAAACAACTCCTAATGAAGTTTTTACTGACATCCTTGAGTACATAAGGTGCAAAGACAAAAGAATTGTCTCCGAGTAAGTAAATTTCTTAATAAAAATTAATTTCTTAATGACATATAGTATGGTATGGTATTATATAGTATAATAGTGCAACACGGAATTCTTTATTTGAACTAATATTATATGGTATTGTAAAACACTGTGTTTGAACTAATACAACATGGTATAATGTGGTGTAATATCGAATAATAGTATATGGTATAATGTGGTTCAATGTTCTGAACAGGGAATAGATAATGTTCAGGAGAAAGGATGACACATGCTTACTGAAAAGGACATCATTGCAATCTGCAGACATAGATCAACAGATATCAAGTGATGTCATGGACTGGTATGGAGATCGGATGAACAGAGATCAAGAAAAAAAGGATAAATCTCAAAGTGGTACTTCTCTAGTCATTTGGCAGTAAGTGTATCCATCTTCTAATATATTTTGCTTACCATGCCAAAATATATGATTACTTTAACATAATTTCATATTTTAAGGGTGACTACAAGCTTGACATAGCCAACAGCAATCCCCCATTAAGTGCAAACCAGTACTTTGACAAAGTGGAAGGAGATATTTCCTACAAAGAATGGGCAAAAGACCTCAGCTTCCAGAACTGTGACCTTGTAAGTAACACAACACTAAAACCATATAATACCAGATGGTATGCCATAAAAAACTATTCATCAAAACATAATTATAATTATCCATTAACATTTTCAATTCATTCTTATGCCATGGTTCTTCCCTTACTGTGATGGTGAACACTACATCATGATATGTGTGAACATAAAGAACACAAGATTTGATGTGCTTGACAGTCTCCGTTACAAAGACTTTAAGGAAGATTACCAACCAATGGCAGAAAGAGTTGTCAAGTATGCAATCAACTACATGAGCATATACTGTGGAAACACACAGATTCCCTGGGAGAAGTTTGTCTAGTTCAATCTGGGAAAGGTTACACAGCCAGATAAACTCTCATGCGGATTGTATACAATCAGATGGATGCGCCAGTGGGAAGGAAAGTACAATACTTTTATGAACAGAGACTGGAAGAGGATAGATCTGATCAATGAAGAAAGGGAGTGCCTCATGTTGGATATCATCCTTGATGAAGAAAACCTTGTGCATGAGAGGATTATGAAATCTGCCACAAAGTACTGCGCTATGAAGAGACAAGGCAAGTAAGGAAAGGAGAGAACATTAGTATGGATCTAATGTCTACTATAGACATCTACTTCTGAAAACAATGCATTTGATGACAAACAATATGTTAAACTATTTTTATTATGTGTGTGCTTTTGAGAACAACCAAGATATTAAGTATTTTTCTTATGGGTGTATTAGAACTTACATTTGAAACACTACTTATTATGGTTATGTAATAGCCTAGTACTTTAGGTTATTTCAGCCATCAAATTCAGTCTTCTACCACAAGCATACCATATGGTATAACATGGTGTAAACATTTTTAAATACACCACACCATATCACGTGGTATTTTATGGTAACTGAACACACCACACTACACTAATATGGTAAAGTAAAAAAAACACCACCACCATAGTAAAACATTATATCAAAGGTTAAATTCATCCACAAAAAATTAAATCCTTCTCAGGTGCAGATCCATACTACTTCAAATAAAATAAAATAAAAACAAAATCCAAGAAACACGTAAAATTCAACAACATCAAATCAGCTAAAAAAACTCGACAACCTTCAAACAACTATCGCAACTTCAACTTCGGACTTTCTTCTACAACCTTCAAATTCTCCTCTTCCAATCAACTAGTCTTTTTCTTCTTCCTACTAGTCGCCCTTCCAATCTCTGCTTCTCTAATTGGTCGTTTCGAAGGCTTGAATGACTCCTTAGGCTTAAACCCCCTTCACCTTTCGAACTGGAACATCACCTACAATAAGAAATACATACTATAATCAATAACAAACATATAGGAACAAATAAAAAACATTCAGCTTATCAGTATGAAAATATATACAACATAATACCATATGGTATTCCAACACATTAGCGAAAACAATAAAGAAAACCACACTATACCACATGGTACAATGTGGTAAAATAACTTCGCAAACAAAAAAAATCACAAATTAAATACACCATCACAGGAAAGAAATACTGCAACAGAAGAAAGAAAGAAAGAAATAGTCAACTTATCAAAAATAAAACATATACCCATTATACCACATAGTATTACAAAACACCAGAAGTAACAAACCGAAAACCACCCTATACCATATCGTACAACATGGTAAAATAACTTGGCAAACAAAAAATAACAATATCATATACACAACAAAGGGGGGAAAACTTACTCTCACATTTAGTCGATCCACCCGTACTAGCTGTTTCGAAAATTGGTAAAACTTCACGCTTCTTGATCAAATCACTCATGAAATCCATGGTTGATTTATACAAATCATCATTCAAACAAACCCTACTGGTAAGCGATGCAGAAACAGCTGAAATATTGAATAGACGAGACCGATACTTTGATGGACTATCAATAGACGACATTGCAAATCCAAAATTCCCACAAGTTTTTTTTGTCCTTGTCCATCGCTTCAAAATCAAAGTAGAAGGAATGTGTTGGAACTTCACATTGCAAGTTGTAGACCACATCAAATCGAATCCCCTCAATTGATGCTTACACAACATACCACTTGACTCCCACTTACGACAAGTACACTTAATTTCACCATTATCAAAAATCAACTATCAGCAGTCTGCTGTCAAACCTTGAGAGGTCTGCTAACAGTGTGAAGACATCAAAGACCTTTACATTCCCTTCCTGAGCTAACTCTGTATTAGGAAGAACATTGTATGAAAGAGATTCTTTGTATTGCTCTAGAAAAAGCTGGAATATTTTTGGCGTATTTAGATCAGCAACTTGCTTGACAATAGCACTACATGAAAACCGACAATAAGCAAACATATAAATTGCTATGTACTCCTCTTCTTCTCTAGAATCTCTCTTATTATCAAGCATCCTATCAAAATGTACAAAGAACCTAGGAATACTAAATTCCGACAGCAAGTAATGACGAAGATTACTGTTGCAACACTCACTTAACTGGATACTCTTCATACCAACACCAAAATGAGAATTCATCCTAGCCGATGACCACTTCTCTCTGACCTTGTAAATACCTTGTAACCAACTGTGTCCAAGAGGTCCCTTCCCAGGGAAACACTATCTATCATTATTTTCCAATTATACTCAAAATCATCCTCATCATTACATCAAATAGCTAAGCTCACAAAGGAAAGCCGAATCACACAAAGATCCCTGTTTAACAACGGCATTATGTGAGAAATGCCATGAACACAATCCATGGAAACAAGTTGGGAAAACAGACCTTATACCAGCAGTAATTGCAGCAGCCTGATCAGTAAAAATAGATGAGGCTCACACCTCTCATGCATTCCAAAAACTGATTAAACAACCACTCAAACGTTGCCGTTGTTTCATTATATAGACGGGCAGCTGCAAACACAGTGAATTGATGATGGTTGTTGAAACCAACAAACAAAGCTGCACATACCATGTGGTACACAGTGTTAAAAACAAAAAATGCCACAAAATACCACCATAGTATTGACAGCTAACAACATAATACCAAATCAAATAACTATAATACAGAATAATCACAACATCAGAACACATACCTAGATACTCTTTATTCATTCTGTATGTAGTATCAAAACTAACTGAATCACCGAAAAAATGATAATCCATCCACATCTTCTCATTTGCCCAAAAAATACTAGCAATGTTCTCTTCCACATCAACCTCTACCTCATGAAAAAACCAGGATCTAGCTTAGCTTGTCATCTAAAGTATTTTAGCAATGCACTTGCATCACCATGCTTCATTGATGACGTCCTCACTGTCCGTAAATGGTTCTTCAAATCATTTTTGTGAAACCAATAAACTTCCGACCACCAGCAGTTGTACTAATTGCATTATACGAAGCAGTCACACCTATACCAGCAACATCATTTACATCTGCCAACATTTTATAGACAAGAGCCCGTTGTCTATTCGATCTCATATAGTGATGCATACTCTCAAGAATCATGTCATGATTATGAACATCCCACCACTTATATATCTTATAACACTTAAACTCCCTAAACCACCTAATTCGAATATAAGCACCACCACATCCACCCCTTATTTCTAGAACACCACAAACATTAGCCTTCACATCAATAGAACCACGATTAGCGGGATGATTCTCAATAACAATCCTCCAACCTTCCTTATTGCAACAATACTTAATATAATAAACCGCCTTTGAACCATTATTAAGCTTCGGACATGCCGACTGATAGTAAATCCTCACAGAAAAACCTTTATAGTTCTCATAATCCACATAAAATCTATATGCATCATCAACTGTATAGAACTCAAGGTTGTTCCTGGAACTTCGAACATTAGGATATGTAGCATCAAAACCTAAAACATAAAAAGAATGAAACATTAATTCTGTACAAAATATAATACCACTGTAGTATAATATGGTAAGTCTATTACATTCAGAAACTCTATAACGAAATAAAAGAATACTACACATACCACCATGGTATTATAAGAAAAAATTATCCCAATCACGAACTATATACAAAAACATAAAACCACAGCAATTATAATAACAATCTATAACAAAGAAAACACAATAACACTCATATACACAAAAAAATACCATACAATACCAATATGATATTTTATGGTATAACATGGTATTGTATGGTATAAGATATATTCAAATTTCAATTTATCAAACACATTTAAAATTCTTACCTCCCGATTCAACAACGCTATGAGAAGAACTAGATCCAGTATTAGATACATTCAATGATTCAAAGGAACAATGACGCCTTGATTAAGATCACTCATTGCACAAATAAGCTGAGTCAACAGGGAAGATTCAAAAGTTTCCTGCACAAAACATAAATTTAACTAAAGATCAATCAACTGAACAAAAAAAAACATAGACAAAACACGGAACGAAAAAGAAAACATGATCAAA